TGCCACACTACGCCGAAGATGCTGGGAAAATACATCTGCGTGTGACCGAGCGGAGAAGACACCCACAGGAACTTTCATTCGACCGCAGGCAAGAGGTCACCGGCAATGTCCAGATCACAGTCCAGCCACTCAGGTGAAGTTAATAAATCTGTTCATGAGGGCCACTGGGCCTTGGTTTTCCTTTGGTTGTCATTTACTACTAAGAATGATGGAGCTTTTCATAATAACAGTTTTATTCTTTGCATGTAGGCAAGTATGGGATGTCGATACTGTGCTCATCTCCAGCTTCTCTCTGGTATCTTTCTCTCTCGGTCTCCCCCTTTCTCCCTCTCCAAGGTGGCGGCTATAAGAGGATAGCTGCACAGTGCGTCTATTGTCTGAACTGTGAGTAAGGAGGGGAAAGGATTAATGGCCTCTCGTTATTCCTGATGTATTTTCTGTTTGGGTGGAATTGCTAAGATTGGGTATGCAGCATTATGGTCTTGCCATTTCCTTGCTTAGGCTTGGGGGGGGGGGGGTGACACTATAGTAGGATAATGGAGAGCAAAGGAGTCCAGGCTCAAGGAGGCTGAGCTAACAGCCATGAAATGAAAGCGTGGAGAAAGAAAAGAAGCAGAGAAAGGCGCCTAGCTCTCCAGGGCCCTCTAAGTGGTTCCCCAGGCTAAATTAATGTGTTCTGCTGGGGCAGACCTCTTCAGCTGGGTTAAGCAGGGCTGGCCGGTGAGGTTGCAAATTTACAGTCAAACCTTTAAAACCCTGCTCACAATCCTCTCATCTGTCACTGAGATTTCTCTGCATCTCAGTGGCAGCAGGAAAACACCTTTCCACCAGTTTGGGTCATTTGCTTCATCTCCTCTTCTCTCTTTACCTTTATGTCTCTTAGGACTGGAACAGTGTGTGGAGACACAGCTGCTACCAGCATAATAAAACATAATAACCACTGACTAGTATCTGCTCTCAAGCAGCCAACACTACCTTATCCTGACCGCTCTGCACCCCCTGCTAAATCAGCCTAAAACAATGGCCTTGAGCCTGCAGCAGTCTCCAGGGAACCTCTCTGTATGGGAGGTTTTGTTTTTCCAACAAAAGACCTTAATGCCCCATAAAGGATGTTTATAGGGTTTACACAGGATAATAGCCATGGTTATTGGAGGAGAACTTTCATGTAACATTGCAGTCGTGGCAAGGCAGGCATGTATTTCATGCACAAACTGTCCTCTCTCTTGCCTACTTTCTCTTACCTGCAAACACCATTTCAAGATGTGCTTCATCACTCTAATTGGGCAAATTGGGTGAGAGCTGGTAATAGGGTGCGACAGGGGTTAAAGTTGATGAGTCAGAGGCAGGCAGAGGTGACAGCAAAGGAAAAACAGAGGTAAACACTTCTGACAAATCACTGTTGATGGATGAGTTTACCTTTGCAATGAGAAAGGGAGAAAGATCTCACATGCCACACTGAATCTCTATCATACAGATAGAAAGGACAAGTGCAAGGGTAGTAGAAAAAAAGAGAGGATTTATACTGTAATAGAGATAAAAATGTATTCTGTAGTTTAAAAAGCAAAAAAGAAGGGGCTGGGGGGAAAAATGTGAACATTTAAAAAATAAAGCTGAAGAGGAAGGGAAAGTTAGATAAGGGCAAAGCTGTCCAGAAAGCAGACAATTTAATGGGAAGGAGGTGTGTGTATCTACTTGCATTACTGTCTAACAATCCCCTCTTCACGTCTCAGTGTGAAAAAGTGATAGAATACAATATGTTCTTGGCTGTGGAAAAAAAACTATGAAGCAGCTACAATGAAAGACCAAAGGGAAGAGGAAAAGGATGAAGGCTTTTCCCTTTGTTCATTTGAGTGTGATGGAAGCAAGCAGCAAGTTTATTCCATATTCACAGAGAGCTCATGCTTATTAGGAGTGCTGGTGAGTTGTGGGGGAAGCAGCAGAGCTTGGCCTGAGGGGAAAATAGTGAGAAACCTTAAGCCACACTCCCGTGAGATAGCAGCACAGGCACCCGCAGAGCAAAGGGTCAGCCAGGGCTCCGTGATGTTTGATGGACGTTGAAGTGATGAGAGTCGAGATAAAGCAGAAAAACAGAGCAGAAGAGCCAGTAAAGACTTTTATCCTCCTCCTCCTTCTGAAGTGCCGCTGAGCCCTGTGATCTGAGCCCTCTTTCCTGTGCTCGCATGGACTCGGTCAACAAGCCACACAGGGTTCAGAAAGAGAATCTCACAAACTCACCAGGGCCTCTTCTTCTGGCTGTCACTCTGATGTGCCCGAGGCCAGTTACCAAACCACACTAGCGCTCCTCCTCATCTCTCTCTCTTATCTCTGTTCTCTCTCGTCTCTCGTTTTTCTCTTTCTCCTTCGTCTCTCTCTTCTCTCTCTCTCTCTTCTCTCTTCTCTCTCTCCTCTCCTCTCCTCTCTCTCCTCTCTCTCCTCTCTCCTCTCTCGTCTCTCCTCTACATATATCACATACACACATACAAGCATGCAAACACCGTGCACAGCACTTGCACAGGACTGTGTTATACTCCCGGGAACAGACTCAGCGAGTTGTTTTATTGCCCCTGGCCTCCTGTACTCTGTGAATGTTTTAACAAAGAAAGTGTGATTCTTATTGTCTCTGGGAGATGTGTTGAGATTTTGAGGAACTTTTTCTAACTCCTTTCATGTGTCATCTCTTCTAATGCTATGTCTTTCTTTCTCTCTTTTCTCTTCCCTCTCAGAGAGCAACATCACAGTGGCATTGTCCAGTAACTCCTCGGAGGTCCTAGAGGGCGATGTGATCCAGTTGACCTGCTCGGTCTACTCCACTTCAGGCCCCCTGTCTATTGCCTGGCAGTGGACAGACAAGCAGGCAACTGGACCGCCCCAGGAGGTGGCCTCTGTGGATCGGGACGGCACTGTATGGCACAGTTCTGCCTACAGAGAGCGCTCCAGCTATGGAGAGATACGTGTGGAGAAGGTGCGGGGCGACACGTTCACTCTGTCCCTGTATAATGCCATGCCTGGGGATGAGGGTCAGTACCGCTGCACAGTCACGGAGTGGCTTCAGAGTGGCACAGAACCAGAGCTAAACTGGGAGAAGATAGGAGAGAAGTCTGCCACCAAGACTGTCACCGTTAAGACTGTTGGTAAGTTATTGGAACCTAATTTGAAACCCAGTATATTCTGTTCCAGCCAAGTCAGTGAGACACAAGGACAGAAGAGGGGGTGCAGTCGGGGATGCAGCCTCCCTCAATGGCTGAGGTGAAATGCAGTGGAAATATCATTCAACCTTTTCAAATAATCTGTGATAAAAAAAAAATTGACACTTTACTTTACTTGTTGAATCATTATTCTGTTGTGCTTCAAGTATGAAAAATGTGGTAAATTTAGGGGATAAACATATACAGTATATGTTTTTCTAATTAATGACATGACTGCATGCCTTCACCTCAGCTTACATTTTAGAGGAGCAAACTATCTAAACAAAACCGGCCATATGGCAAATTAATGACGCAGAAAATAGCGTAAAATAGCATATTTCTTCACTTTAATTAGTCCAAACAAACTAGAAAATAGGCTATATGGGGGAAAAAAAGAGACCGCGTGAACACTGGTTCTTACGCTTCTTGGCTGCTTTTATACTCTAAATCCAGTGTTTTCATGTTTTGTTGAAACTGAATCTTAGTGTCCTCTGGTGCCTACAGAGCAGCAACTAACACACGATCAACCTGCGGAGGTGTGATAAAAACAAACGTTCTGAGTTTTTTTGTTTGTTTTTTTGCATTTTTTCAGTTTTGTAGTTTTGACAAGCAGCAGCTGAGCTTGTTGCAAGTTTAAATCTCCTCGACCATATGGCTCATATCTTGCTGTAATATAGTTTCCATGCGAGGTTCGGATTTAACGGAAGAAAATATACTACATCTTTCGGTTGTTTATTCTAAACATTAATACATGTGTCGCCACACATTCACACCAAGTCAAAGAAAGGCATATGGTTTGTGATTTAAAGACTGATGAATGGTGCGGGCAGAACAGGCAGAACATGCAGTCCACATAGGAGAATACACCATGGTTTATTCATGCACTGCTCAAGGGAAAGAGCTATTATGACAGACACACACACACACACACACACAAACACACACACTCTCACACCACCTGCCATGCGTCA